GAGGGTTTCTAGCGACAGAGAAATAAACCAATAGATGGACCGGTGGTTTCTACTTGCTAGGGCTTGCAGCGGCAGATCGAAGTCAAGATACAAGTGAAAGGAAATGGGGCGGAGTTGTCCTTCTTGTTTTAGCTTGCAAAGCCTTGTTTCAGAGATGTAACAACATAATTGGAGAATGAGAGAGACAGATGACTAAAACCCTAAACGATGGCGAATGATTACTTGTTTAATCTTGCAAACCCTCGTTTCAGAGAGCTAGAACATCAGTTGTTTGACAAGATTAAATGAGCTTCTTTTAAAAACCCAAGACCACAAATATATTAAAGGTTGATAAATGGAGGGATGGATGAATAGCATAAGATTGACCAAAGAAAACAAAAAATTCGCAGCCTGGACTTTCTTGGTGTTAGATATATATATATATATATATATATATATATATATATATATATATATATATATATATAGAGAGAGAGAGAGAGAGAGAGAGAGCGAAAGAGAAGAGAGAGAGAAAAAAAGAGAGAGAAAGAGAGAGAGAGAGAGAGAGAGAGAGAGAGGTATTTTTCTTGTTCCTTTTCTTTTTTTTGATTTACATAATAAAAAATTTAAAAAGGGAAATACCAAGGGTAAATCCGTCATTTTAAAAAGTTTCAAAAATTTTGGACCAAATTCGCAACAAAATGAAACTTTTGGACCACCCTTGCGAGTCCAAACTTAAGTATGAATTCACACGAAGATTCATCTAATTCGCCCAAACCGGGGCTCCGATACCAACTTGAAACATTCTGAAAATATCAAGAAATTTAAAGTATTCAAAATCAACCATTTAACATCATTGTTTACAAAAGAGTTATTATTTCCAAAACATTATTTCAAAATCAGAGTTTTCCCTAGACCAAAACCCATAAAAACAGGAAGTTGTGCATGATCACACATTTACTTTCCTGCGATCCTCTAACGTATTTGAAACCATAAACTAAAACTGTAAACACAAAGCTTAGTAAATTTTCCACATAGTACCACCAAACAAACAGATAACATGTACAAACAAGCATTTAGGGTCCAATTAACCATCGGGTTGGAATACCCCAGGCTCGGTCATTCTCAGGATAGAATACCCTAGGTTGGAATGCCAATATAAAACAGGTCGAGTCATCCTCCCGATGGAATAACCACATGACTAATCAACCATCGACTTGGAATTCCCCCGGTCTGTTGGCTTACGCACAAAGCAGTAAATCCTTAACCACAACTCAAAATATGTCGACATATACATAACAGATAAACATATAATCAGCCAACAAACATACAGGTAGATGTACAGATCCCTACCGCATAACGACATCCTATAAATTAGGAAAAAGATATAACAAATCACTACAACATAGCAACATACGGTAAACCAGGATATCAATCCAATGGGCTGGCCTTGGTGCCTTTGACCAAAAAGTATAGTGAGGAAAAGCTCACCTTATGGTTTGATGAATAGCTGAACAATACACTACTCCGAATAGTAGCTCAACATGTTACCTATTCAACAGATAGAGACCAAGGCTTAACTATAACTCAAAATACTGAAAATACCCTTAAGTCAAACTGGGTCAACCCTGGTCAAAGTCAAAGTCAACGGTCAAGGTACCAAAAGTCAATATTTCTTCCTAGCGAAGTACGCCCCGGGTACCAAGAGAGTACACCTAGTGTAGTCTGATGTTGAGCCAAAAGTGGGGTGCTGACCGCGTACGCGTATCATACCACATGGTACGCCCAGCGTATGCATCCAAGTTCTAAAACTCAGTTAAGAGCTTATTTGATTAAGCCCTTACGTTCAAAACTCAGATTTAAGCCCAAAATGATATCCTAAGTCAGAAAGTTTTCAACTTTATGACTTTACATGACTATGAAGTGCTTAATGACCAAAACCCTAAGTTTTTAACCCATTAAGACATCACAACTCTTGTGTAGAAAGGAAGGAAGGGCTAAGATAACATTTTATGGTTCATAATAGTTCCATAATAGATTAAGTGTCCAACTTTATCCATTAGATTGGTCCCAACGAACAAGATCCAGTCTTTAAGTCTCAAAGGGATCCAAACGTGTATCTTTTTCAACTTATTTGTTAAGTCCAAGTCTCTAACCTTCAGATCTGAATCAAAATGATGTTTAGATGGATTAAGTTTCCATCTTTATCCATAACATGGTCACAAACCTTTAAGATCTAAACTTTATGCACTTAAAGTGACCAAAAGCTCATAACACTCAAAACTAGCTAGATTTAACAATTTCATCATCAATATTCAAACTTCATACCTCTAGGAGAATGATCAATGTGAACAAGGTCTAGATCTATAAGCTCCAATGAAACCAACACTTCTTTAATGAGTTCATTCTTCTCCAAGGTGCACCAAGAACACTCCAAACCACTAAAAACACATTCTTTTTGCTCACAAAGCTTAATTTAGGGTTAGGGTTTAAGAGAAGGTGTTGGAGAGATGGAGGTTGAGAATAGAATGGGTTTAGGGAAGTCAAGGAGCTTAAATAGGGCTTAAACCACGAAAATAGGGTTTAAGAACTGATCGTATATGCCCAACATACTTAATTTACACCCAGCGTACTCAGGCATACTCAGTACGCCCATGTACTCAATTTACGCCCATCATAGGCGACTGACCCAAAAATCGTCTTAACTTCAATCGGTCGTAACTTCTTTGTTTCAACTTTATTTTCGATGTTCTTTATATCCACAGAAAGTTATTGAAAAGCTCTACAATGTTATCTAAATGTATTGGACTAAAATCTTCTCAAAGAAAAATCCATATTTCATGCAAGAACACGACCTATGACTTTTCCCTTTCTACCCTTCGGCCCAAAACACAATTCAAGGGTTAAATCTCTTAACCAACATTACCACCTTCCAAAAGGACTAAACTTTGCTTCCTTAAAGCCCAAAACCTTACACAATCAAGTTCTGGTCCATTGCTCAGAAATGGTAGGAAACAAGATGTTACATTCTATTAAATATAATAACCAAATACATTGTTTCACACAAGTCAATAAGGTTTTATGAAACAGAAGACAATTTCTCAATCATTCGCTGAGTTGGAATACACGACCATCTCCATGGCAGGGTGGGAGTTTCGAAGCTGCATTCGTGTCCGCAGGTCATACCCACGCACAAGTTCGGTGAATTTAGCCTACGAAATCCATGATTTACAACCCCTTCTACGGGTGGGTAGGAGTTGGGGTAAATCCATATATACAAGCCTGTTAGCCTATGATACATTCAAGCTTATAAACTCACTCGAGTATGGTCTTTCTAGATATGTGGGACTCATTCGCACACCGACCTCATTTGATAACTTTCATCCTCAAATACCCATCTTTGAGTCTCGATATCTTATTCATATATACTTTTTTTTGGACATACTATATATTGTTTCGAAACTTTCACGGAGGAGAATACTAACCCACTTAGAGTTTATTATAAATACAACATATGTATATATTTATGTCTGTTCAAAGTTGGTAAAAATATAAATATTTATACCAACATTTCCAACAATGTGTATACCTTCCATGTGTAAAATGTTGAATGATAATAAGATAATTGCATGATTTTATGTGTGATATAGCAACTTGCATTGTATTCTCCAACACTTTTCACCTACTCCTCTTGAAAATATTAATTTGGAAACTGGTTTTAACTGCTTAGGGTCCCATTTAAGTCTTTGATAACGAAAGTTTTTCTATTACTCAAATCATATAATTAAGATTCATTTTGATTATTACCACTCTTTAACATCTTTTAGACCCACTTGTTTCATTTCAACTTTGAAATTTGAATTCCATTTAAATCAACCAAACTTTATCGATCATCTTCATATATCAAAATCATATTTTCAATGTTAATGAACTACCACAGTTTGCCTTTTGAGAATGGTCAACTGTTGGCATTTTATATGTCTTGCCCTTTATCAAATAAAGATCAAAGTCTTTTTTGAAAAAAATATAAAAAATAAAATAAAGATCAAAGCCTCAGTGCTTTGTTTTAGTTGTTAATAGCTGATAGTTATGTAAAACAAATAGATCTTCATATCAAATAGAGAAGATATCTTAATATAGATAGCTGTGATTCTTCTTCCAACTAAAACAAGGTTTATACCTCAAACCAGCAGTATCCAATGTGTTTGTTGGGCAACTAACTTTACACGTAATAGCTTCTCCTAGGAAAAGAACATATTGCCATTGTTTTAATGAATTATTAAATGTAGGATATATCAAAGATGATAACGGAACTCAAGAAGATCCACAGAAACGTGACATAAAGTTTAAAAAGGCAACGACCTACACTATCTGCTCACATCTCCTTGGTTTATCGAAAGATTTATGAATGAATGAAGAAAATGACGCGAAATGGTAAAAAAAAGAGTGTGTGTGGGGCTGCATGTGTCACAGACCAAACAGTACAAAGAGCAAGAGCAGTAGCAGTAGCAGTTGTACCAAGTGACAGAAACCATAAAAAGCTTTCCATAAAAGACATGCAAATGCAAACACCTCCTTTGTTTCACTCTCTTTTGTCTTCTCCCTTTTCATCCTGACAATTCACAAGACCACCCCCTCTTATCATCATCTGTTAACCCTACTCGTCTTAATTTCCAAATATTTATTAAAAATAATATATGTATTTCTATCGTTTTCTATTTAAAAAATTATATTTATATATTCTTATATTTAAGTATAGTCAATCTGAAATGAGAGAGTAATATAGATTGTTTTGTTTTGGAAATGCCTGTAATTATTTTACTAACATTTCAATTTAGATATTTGTCATATTGATTGACTCATGAAAGTTAGTTAAAACATCGCGAATTAAATGGTTACAAATGTTGTCTTTTCCGGAGCACTATGAATCGGTTTGGTTCATTGAGATTTATTAAAATTGTGTTATTAGTTATGCGGTATTGTCAAAATTCGATTCTATCTGAAATTTGTATTTTTTTTGTCCAAAAATTACAGCAAAAATTAAGAAATCTTGTTTGGAGCGACATTCTTAAATTTAAGGACATTTAAATATTTTAGATATTTAATTAACACTTAGAAGCAATAAATCTAGCATCTAAAAAGTAAACAAAAATGTAGTTTCCGTCATTAAAGTAAACTTTGCAACGTAACTTAATTAACGTTGTTGAAATGCACTGTGGCAATTTGTAACAGAATCCATCACTAAAGTAAATTGTCCAACAAGGCATAGCTAAAAGCCCATAAAAGTGTCACTAAAGACAATCCCTGATGCTAAAAGCGTCGCTTAAATTACGTAGTCCATGCTGTGACAAGTGACAACGTTCCGATTCTCTTATTCATGGTTTCGGTTGAACTGGTCAAACGCCATTGTTGAAGAAGCAAACTTGCTTAGCTCTTGTTGTAAACTAAACGAGACATTCCTTTCATTTCTTGCGACACCGAGGAAATCCCTAGTTAAGTCACCGTCGCCAAATTCATTGCCACCGGTTGCTTTGCTTTGCCTTGACCCGTCTGCCGGAGCTGTCGTCATCATCATCAATCGTTCACCATTGCGAGGGCTTGATAAGCTTGAGAGAGCTGTACTCATGAGGCCAAATCCGGTATCCTTTCCACCAGAAACTCCAGGGTTTGTGCTTCTTGTTGACCCCATTTGAGCTGCTTTCTGTAGAAGAGCGGTGGCTGACATATTAGCTACCGGTGGTGGTGGTGGTGGCGGCAGAGATGAACACATGAGATTGTTTTGAGTGTTGGAACCACCGTAATTAAACATCGAGTTCAACTGCATCTCCTTTTGGGACTCTTCTTCTTCTTTTAAAGATAACCCTTGTGGTAATCCATTATATCTACTCAACCAGTTCACCATCTCCGGTTGTAGCATTCCTCCATTGTTGTAGTTGGAGCTTGAGGAACCCAAGAAAGTAGAACTATTAGTGTTTTCGAGGTGGGGATTGTTGGCATTGTGGTCTAACCAGATCGGCAATCTTTGTTTGGATCCATTGACATCCAGAGGACTCTCTAAGCCGCCACCAAAAACACCTTGAAACTGTGTATTACCGGCGCCACCACTACCACCACCAGGTCCACCACCGTTCATAATCATCAGATCGTTCCGAAAGCTCAGATGTGGCATGCTTGGGAGCACCGTGAGTGATGTCATCCTCGAATTTTCTTCCATTAACGCATCACAAAATGCTCTATGTGTAATGAAGCTATCTTTCCTGATTTAACATACAAAAACATGCAAATCTATACACATACCGAGAAAATCTGGAAGCATTAATACTGAAATTAAATACGTAAAGTAGAAATAGGTAGATACCTGGAAAAGAGGGTTCCACAGTCACACTTGTACTCTCTGGTACCACAAATCTTACTATGAGCTTTCCAATCGGATTGGACTGCGTACTTTTTGGAACACTTTTCGCACTTCCACTTCTTTTCTCCATGTTTCCGGCTGAAATGCTTCTTAACTCCGGTGAGATCTCCAAGAGCTCGAGAAGGGTCATGATGAACACAGCTTTTTTCCGGGCATATGTAAACTTTCTTCTTTATGACTTCGTTTTTGTTTCTTTGCTTAAGCTTCCACGGAAGGTTGTGTCCTCTTCTATGAAGCTGCAAATTCTGGTCTCTTTGAAAACCCTTACTGCATATCTCGCACACGAATCGGTTTGTAGCCATTAGAGATGTCGGGGATAACGCTATCACTTCGGCATCTGGATCTACGTATATATAATTAAGAACGATATTTAGTTAACTAATTTAGAAGTATTCGGAACAAATAATTGAGGAAGGACGCGGGTTTGGGTTTACCTGGATTACCAGCCTGATTACGCTTTCGTTTACCTGAAACGGATGAATTAGGGTTAGGGTTAGGGTTAGGGTTTGGGATGGGGTCGTGGATGAAGGAGCTGAGAGAAGAAGGTGGTGATGAGAACCCATCACCAGACATCATTTTTGTTGAATCTTTAATTGAAAACAACACAAGACGATGTAAGTGATGACAACAAGGGAGCTTTTCACTGATAAATACAGATGAACATGAACATATATATGGATGATGATGAGGAGGAAAGGGACGACGATGGCTGTATCTCAAGTGTTTTTCAACGATGAAGGAAATCCATGGCCAGACATCTTTCTTTGTTCAATCTTAAATAAGAAAAATAAAAAATTGCGTGAGTGAAGAACAACAGATCAAAGAGCTGCTAACTAGTAAATACAGATGAAAAGATGAAGAGATGATGATGATGATGATTATGATGGCTGCTACTTAAGTGTTTTTAATGACCCATAACCAGACGTCATTTTCATTGAGTTGCATAAGAAGAAAAACAACAAACTAAGGTAAGTGATGATCAACAAGAGCTTCTACCTAATAACCACAGATGAAGGTAACAGATGAAGATTATGGCAATAACATAGCTGTTCTACATAGACGAACAAAACCCATAACTAGGCATCATTTCTATCGAATCTTGAAGAAGATATATAACAACGATTCAACAAAGGCAATGATGAGGAAGAAAAGAGCTGGTAATCAGCAAATACTGATGAGGAGATGAAGATGATGATGGATGTAAATTAAATCAAGTGTTATTCAAAGATGAAGAAAACCCAGAAAAAGAAAGAAACTCCATGGATTTTTCTCGAGTTTTGAAGCAAGTTGTGAGGCAGATGTTCGTCTTTTTGCCTTTGTTTGAATCATATATATCATACAGAAAAAACACACACATGATAGCTACTTCAAAAAAGAATATTTCTGTTTCTCTCTCACACACAGAAAAACACACATAGAGAAAGAAAGAGAAATGGAATGGAGTGAGCCTTATCTTGCACGGCTTCCATGTACAGTAGGCCCAGCCATGGACTCAGATTGACCACATCTTTTTAGCTTGCAATATCGGATCTTTGGAATTTTAACATGTAGGTTTTCAGCGTGGAATAACTTAAGATTCTTAATTTAGTTTCTTCAATGCAAAATTACAAATTACATATAAAAATATAAAAATATAGTGGTGACAATTTATGACACGACACGATAAAAATATACACGACATGAAACGAATTTGAGATGAAACTGAAATTCAAATTCATGTTTGTGTCTTATTCGTGTCAAGTGTAAAAAACATGATATCGTGTCGTGTCGTGTTCGTGTTCAAATAATGATACAAAATTGACATGATTTAACTTTTTTTGTCATGTTTTTCGTGTTTGTCATGTTTTTTTGTTATGTATCAATAAATATTAATTAAATACATTAATTGTTATTTTATATTATCTTTGTCGTGTCGTGTCGTGTTCGTGTTATATAAAATGTTGTCGTATCATGTCGTCTCAGACAAAAACATGACACGATAATCCGATTTGCCACCCTCATAAAAACATATTTCCTTTTTATCAATTTCAGTTTTGGAAAATACAATTCCAAAATTAAAGTTCCGCACTAAAACATAAATAATCAAATAAGAAATTTGATTGCCTAAAACGAAAACTAACTTATCACTGGACGAACACCACCACCACTTGACTATTTTTCTCTTCTGTCGAACAAACACCACTACCACCGGGTACATGATTACGAGCCCTAGCCATGAATGCCACGCTTTTAATTTTGTGCGGATGTACAATGAATCATTCATGCTTCTTATATTTATTAAAACTATTAAATGGCATCATCTATGCTTCTAGGTCCTTTAATCATGTAAGAGCTAGTAAATACAACCCCTTATTGGATGTGTGTGATATTTGTGGGCTGCCTCTGATTTTGAGATTGTTTTTGAATTATTGCAAATGTTCTAGACCTTATTTATTCATGTTAGAATTATTAAAATATATCCCATATATTTTGATTTATGTGTGTCGCTTAACCTAAAAAAAAATAGCCTTGTATTAAATGTGTGATATCTATCTCTGCTTTCTTGATGCAAATACAAGCCTGTATGAGATGTGTGTGATCTTTGTATGCTCAGGGTCGAAGAAATAGCCCCATATTGAACTAGTAAAACACATCAGGGTTGTTTGTTTTGCCTCTTCCTAGGTCCAGTAAAAGGTAGGACGTAACTCGGTCTGAGTCAATGTGTTAATTTGATACAGTCAATTGTCACCTCTTACTCGATCCTCAAGGGTTTGATTCAATCTGCTAAGAAAAGAATTTGATTGAGAAATGATCCTCCTTTGCCTATATTTTTCTTTCTTCTCTTCTTGAATGGGACTTCACTTTGTCATCTCCATTGTGTCTCTCAATCCGCTTCAGCGTCGTTGGCCACCTCCTCTACCGTCATTCTCTCTAAAGCCGACCACCTCCTTCACCACTGAAATCCTAACTCCCTTCTCTCATGATCAATCACAAATGTTTTCTCTCTTTTGTTCTCCCTCCCATCTATAACATCCCAATTCCCATGTATAATATTTTTTTTATTCAAAAGACAAATTTCCCTTGGAAGTCGGCGAGTTGATGGCCTCAACTCGTCGTGTTGAAAGGATTTGGCCCGCGTATCTTTTGGACCAACTCGACGAGTTGGTGAGGAAAACTTGACGAGTTGGTGGTTGTTTATGAAACCCTAAATTTTAGGGTTTACACCCTATATAACCTCCTTAAGTCCTTGAGATTGATCTTTTATCAGCCTCCAAACCCCATTGTTGGCATTGTGAACCCTAATCTTCATTTCATCTCATATTGTGAGTTAGTATGGCCTTTTGGAGTAAAAGAAGGAGAAGTTTGAGAGAAGGAGGTAAGGATCTAGCAAGCAAAGCTCTTATCTTCAGTTTGGTACTCTTTTGGACCATTGTAAGTGTTCAAGATCTGATTTTTATCTATCTATGTAGCTAGATCTTGAGTTTTGTCCCTTTTCTCCCTATTCTTGGATGTTGCAATGGATAGACTTCATAAAGTTTGCAACTTTATGAATCTCCAGGTCAAGGTGACCTTAAAGTGGGTTAGATCTACTCTTTAGACAAGCTTTGACGCCAAGCATGGAGTTTAAGTCATATTTCCCCTTTTGACCCATTTGTGATTCAAGACATGTATTGGACATGCATGTCTATAAAGTACTTACCTTTGGGACATTTTTGAGGCTAGAATATCTTCTAGAAAAGTTGGGTTCCAGATCTCATGGATTTTGTGCTTAGTGGTTAAGACTTTGAGTCTAAAGCCTTGTGGAAGGGTTTTTGAGCATTTGGAGTAGCCCCAAAGAAAAAAGTTGAAAACTTTATCCTTTTAGAAACATTTGGAGTTTAAATCTAAGCCTTAGAGTCTCTGGAATTGAGGAATCAACTGTATGTGTTAAGTTGGGGAAAACTTGGCAAGTTGGCTAGGGTTTTCCCCGACTTTCTGAGTACTGTAGAACTTAACGAGTTCAAGAGGCGCAATCGACAAGTGGGGTCAACATCGTCTGTTCACCTTGACCATTGACTTTGACTTTGATCATGGTTGACCTAGTTGGACTTTTGAGGGCATTTTGGGTATTTCAGGATTTTGATGGGTTTTGGTCATGATGGTTGTAGGCATTGATTCAGGAGCTGAGATTTAGAGTCAGACGTTATCAGTTCTGCACTACTAGTGAGGTGATTTGTCCTTACTGTACTTGTGGATTGAAGACACTAATGTCGGCCCATTAGATTGATATAATGTTATGCATGCTATTGTATTGTTAGGATTTTGTTATATCGGTATCCTAGTAGATATGATGTTGTTATGCTTAGTGATCTATAGATTCGTGTGACTGGATGTAGACTATTATATGATTATTTGTTATATGTGCACATGATTTTTTGGTCGATGAGGCTTCACTGCTTTGCGTGTAAGCCAATAGGCCGAGGTATTCCAACCTGATGGTTGAAGGCCTAGGGTATTCCATCCCCAATATGAGTGGACCCATAGTATGTTGGCATTCCAACCCGATAGTTGAGGGCCTGGGGTATTCCATCCCGAGGATTGGGATATTCCAACCTAATGGTTGATTGAGCTTAAAGTATGATGTTATCATAACTGTGCTATTTGTTATGTATTGGTATTTTGGGGGAACTCAGTAACCTTTGAGCTTACAATTTGGATTATATTTCAGGTACCTCAGTGGATCATGAGTAGGCGAAGGCGTGATCGTGCACCTCCTCATGTTTTGATTTTAAGAATTTGGGATTTCTCTAATGTCGAACTTATTTTGAAAATAAATTGTAATAAATCATGGTTTTGTGGTTGTTTAAAAAGTTTAAAAATTTCAAGAATTTTTCTAATGTTACAAGTTGGTATCAAAGCTTTGGTTTGAGTGAATTGGAGGAACACTCGTGTAAATCCAGTCTCAAACTAAGGAAAACATTTTCAAAATGATTTTCAAATGATTTTTAAAATATTCAAGGAGGATGCGATGTCTACGATCAGTCGGAGCCAATAAGTAGACCCTAAAATACTATATTGTTTTTTGATATTGTGATATGTTAGAACAACATTCTAGTGATATGCTAGGAATCTTCAGGAATTGCATGATAGAATTGCTTGATTATATGATGCCTAATAGCCTAGGACCTTTCCTTTATGGAATTGATATCATTACTATAGTTGCTTAGTGCATGCATCATGGTTATATATAACTAAGATCTTATAGCCTGAAAATATTTGGTTTGGCCTTATTTCCTGTACTTGTTTGATGTAGGGCTTAAGGTAGGATCAAATATTTGAATGTCTGTAGGGTCCAGTGTTATGTATGGATAGCATACAGAGTGTTGCATGGTTGGTGGAAGTTTCATGGATGAGTAGTGTGGGGTCAGCTGGCCAGTCGTGAGATGATTAGCCTTTCCTCTAAGGAGTGAGGAATGAGTGTTCGTCTTTGCTGATGAGTATTGTTAGGGCGTTTTAATGATCATTGATACAAATACAAGTAGGTGTGGAAAGTAATATGGGCCCATACTATTGAAAGCATATGAACTGTACGCATAGCAAGGAAGTCATCACCCCTAGGGTTTCGTTGGGAGTTGGTTCCCCATTATGATATGTGGTTTATCTGATATCTTCCTGGGGTATTTTCAGTATGGTGTCTACGAGACGAGTTGAGATTGGATCCGGGTCGGGATCGGGAGCAGGATTTGGCAGTCAGGGTGGGCCAGCATTGGTAGAGGATTGTGCCAGGGAGATCATCCGAGAGGATGTGGTTGCAATTGTCTGGGGTCACTTTCCAGAGATGTTTGGGTCTATCAGGACCACGATGATGGAGTTCTTTGATGATCTCTATGCAGCCATTATTGAGATGGCTGCTGCTACAGCCTCCTCTATCGTGGAGGCTGCAGGTGTTGGGACATGGCATGGTATTTAGTATCAAGACTTCGATAATACGAAGCCTCTGACTTTCAAAGTAGTTATAGACCCGATCATAACCATGAGGTGGTTATCTGATGTGGGAGGAAGCTTCTTAAGTTGCTCATGCCCTGCTGACCAGAAGGTCGAGTGCCATCTGAACCTTCTAAGGTCCGAAGCGAAGGATTGGTAGAGGCTCGCCACTAGTTCTTATTTTGTTTAGCAGAGAGCTATTGTGTCATAAGAGCGGTTTTCTAAGATGTTCCGCTCCCGATATGTTCCGCTGGTGGAGCGTGAGAGGTTAGCACAAGAGTATCTGGATTTAAGACAACGTTCTGATACGATAACAAAGATCACCAAGTGATGTGGTGCAAATTATACCTATTAATTTTTGAATTTATAACCTAACGGACTTAACTAGCTAGAATGCACCTAGGCAGTGTACCTAGTCGAATTATAGAATAATTTAGGTAAGTCGGGTGTCGATCACAGGGAACAGTATTTAATTAATAAAATAACTACTAAAAGCTACACTAAGAAAAACAACTAAAATGGGGGGGTTTTTTAATCTGATTTTACAAGTTCATAAA